ACATCAAAAACCAAAATCGATTTTGTCGAAAAATGAGTGTGCGTAAAATTTCCCGTTTTTCCCTTAATTTTTAGTTTGTTTTTCTCAATTATTTAGAAAAGTATTAGGATTTTTTTACTTTTGACCCCCCAAAGTACCAACTAGATTCACTTTCTGATCGAACGAGGCACTGAAGTCAAAAAGCGAAGCATTTTTACTGCCCCAAAACGTGATGACAGACACACACAAAAAAAAAACACACATCATGGTAAAATCAATACATTCATCGCTCTGCTCAGAATCTAAAATCCGATTTAAATAGATAGTTTAACATACATTTTTTAACTAATCTACTTTTTTTGATTTTTGAATACTATAAATATATTTTTTACTAATAAAATTAATAAGTAAAGTTTACATACTGATTATATGTGTCTAGTATTGAAATTCTCTTATATACAAAAAAACATTATTACACACATTTCAGTTTTTTTTTTTACTGATTTTGAAAATTTTTAATTGTATACGACAATATTATAAATTACATCGTAATTTTCTTTTTTAGTTTTATGTACAGTCGCTTTTAGTGATTCGTTAGATAATTTTTATCTATTTTTTGAGATTGTCACTGGGGCGTATTTAAGGGAGGGGCACATGGGGCCCGTGCCTCCCCCATTCGCCGTATTTTATACTTATTTTTATTATATGAGAAATTGTACAACTCTACGCCACATGTACGCAAATTTGAACTTTTTGCTTGTTCCCCCCCTCCCTTAAGACATTTCTAAATACGCCCCTGGATTGTAACATAAAATAATTTTATTATCTCGGCAATTAAGATACACATAAACGTCATAAACATATTAAAATTTAATATAAGATGCGTTTATTATGTTTTATGATAAAAATATATAAGTAACATAATAGTATAATACTGATATTCAATCAATATTTTGTGATTTAGTATTATGTTCAGATTTATTTAAGTTTTTCAATCATGCCAAAAAATCAACAAACCCAACAAATATTGAATGATACTAGAGATGATTCGTCTTCGTCTCGGRTCGTTATGCCGTTTGGATCAGACGAGGAATGCGACTTAACATCAGATGACTTAACGTCCGGCGATGAAGATGTGTTGACGGTAAATCAATTGACTGGGATCCGACGATTCCCAGTGCCAGATTCCCGAAAACCATGTACTGTAACCAATTCTCGGGAACGCTGGCGCCAACACAACGTTACCGGTGCCTTTGCAGAACTTCGTAAATTGGTACCCACTCACCCACACGATAAGAAATTATCGAAGAATGAAATTTTAAGAATGGCTATCAAGTAGGTGGTAGTATGACATAAAATAAATAATAATTTATCTTTTATACAATTAACTATCCAATCAGTATATTATAATATTATGTTAGGTTACCTAGTTACCTACCTATCATGTCAATTTGAATAGCTAATTCAAAATTTGATGTGGATATGTTCTCTTCTTTTTTTTTTCTTTATTTGAAAATATACAATCTATACCTGTCGGCATAATAAGTATATGTGTTTAGAGTACATTTTAAATTATAGTAATAAATTAGCATGTATAGAGAAATCATCCATTAATGACACTCAAAGCTTACTTTTTTTTTATTTCTCTTTTTTTTTCGATTTATTAGTAGGTTTAATTTGTGAGGAATAGCAGTTCCCGCCACCATTTGCGTTTTAGGCGTCTGAGGGGGGTTTCCGGGAATTGAGGGTGTAGCAAGATTTTTTATTAGTGAGTTTTGGTTTGATAATAGTCKATTTTGGAAACGTTGGTAAAGAATTTTCGCTTCTTCGTCAACAGTTTTTAGTTTTAAGTCAGAATATATAGAATCGTGTGAGACATAGTAGGGAGCATTTAAAAGTTTACGAAGTGCTATATTTCGGAATGTTTGTATTTTGTTGATGTTTGATTATTTTGCATTTTCCCAGAGTTGTATGCCGCCGTTCTTTTAAATTTGTTTATGTATGACTATAATAGCCTCTCTCTAACCTGGGATTCTACCTAAAAGTCCGGCGAAAGAAAGTCCGACGAACAAAAGTCCGGTTACAAAAGTCCCACGAAAAAAAGTCCGATGTCATAAAAGTCCCGCGAAAAAAAGTCCGGTTTATTTATTTACGAGGGGTAAACCACTATTATCGAAAATTATGTACACCAGATTATAAAGAATAAGTTTTAGGTACAGCTGCTCTAGTACAGTTCTGCGCTTATATATGACCCGTAAACTGATAAATATGCACTAAAAATAAAAAAAGCACTTAAAAAGGTAATTAAAAAAAGGATTTATTCGTATAAATATAAAAAACATTGTAATTTATTTATAATTATTTGGCACTTAATGAATAAAAAAGATAATAAAAATAATAATATAAAAATATAACTACATTGTTTTCGATTTATTGGGTATCTTTAAGCCGGAATTTTTTTCGCGGGGCTTTTATGACATCGGACTTTTTTTCGTGGGACTTTTGTAACCGGACTTTTGTTCGTCGGACTTTTTTTCGCCAGACTTTTGTTCGGTGATTCCTCTAACCTTGCTCTAAAAATAATTTTTTTTTTCTAATTTTGAAAATAACCGTTTTATAATTGCTTATATTTAATAATATGGAGGAAAAAACATTGAAATCAATTTTCCACATCATAATATGCAGTGAAGTTGTATGGTTTTTAGTTGTCCACGCTTATAGGTATACCTAATTAATTCTAATCCAATGGGTATAATAGATAATAAAATACACTACTCGTTGAAATTCTATTTACATTTTTTTAATCTTTTAATTTGTTTTATATAATTTTTCAACATATCCTCAATGAAATGTAGCAGTATAGATATGGGTAAAGCTATCGATACAATATGCACTATGCATAAGTTAATTTTATAGGCTCGTTATCTTTGTAACAAAATTAATGTGTCACTGGGAATATCTTCCACGTTATTTTTAATTATAGCACTAATTAGTAATTATTGTACGTACAATTTCAAAGAGTATAGTGTAATCTATCTATTACCTATACTGGATTAACATTATTGCATTAGTGTTATTTAGTTCTTAAGTGTGATAAACTGAAGTCTGAAAACCATAAAATTTGATTGCAATATTTTTGAAAATTCATTCATTATTGTTTATAGATATCATTTAAATCATGTGTTACCTACACATTTTATAACGATAACATTTGGTACATACCTATCTATAAATAAATATATCTATTATCTATATATAGGTATTCGTTTAAAATTTACCTACATTTAATCAAATTAGTAGGTACCTATATGTACGGCAAATTTAATTCAGTTTGATTGCAAAATATATAAATTCAAATTTAATCGGCTGTTGTAAACGTATATAGATGTAGACGATGTATTTAGAACTATATTGGGTGATTCATCAAGCATGACTTCCTTTTTTCTCCAATAATGCAACTATGCAAATTGATTTTCGAAATATATTTTTACCACCCATTCTCTTACAGTCTTACAAAACCTTGTTTAAAAAAAAATAGCTTAGTCATAATTAATTGAATTAATTAGTTATACCCACATATTGTTTAAGAAACATGTATCGCAAGTAACGCATTTATAGTAGTTATTGATTCATTGTAGGCTGTAATTTCGTCTTCACAATACTCAATTTTGAAAAAGAACGTGTTTTATTGAGTATTTTTACCCAAGTACTTAACCTGCAGGTACCTATAATACCTACCAATGTATTTACTATTTTATTAATTTTAATGTAAATAATGTAATGCTTCTTTAGAACCGCACACTAGTTAATCAATTACGTGTATCTTATCGAAATTTGCTCATACGTAACAATAAAGTCTAATTAAATAGCTGTACGCAAACGAGACGTCATTTTTCAGGTCAAAATTAGTATTAACCAGGTTTTCACGTTTTTCGATGAACGCAAACGAGTTGTCAGTTTACAGGTAAAAAATTGTGTAGTGTGCGCAAACGAGTATCACCAATAGCCACACACGTATAAGCACGCCTATAATGAATAATAGTAGGTATACCTACTATTAAAGCCTAAAATCTAAATATTCTCTTTATACTTGAAGTGTTTCTGTGGAGATTCAAACTTTTATTTTTCAAATGATGGCCACCCTATTTTCTGTTGTAAATTATTAAGAGGATTATTTTATTTATTTTTCTGAAAATCAAAATTCGAATGAGTATCTATAGTTTTGACTATTTTGAGTTACCTATTTAACTTTCTGTGTTAAGAAATGAAGGATAATAGGTTAGGTTCATCATCTATGTTCATGATACCTAATAGGTTTGGAAGATAAAAGGTATAAGATGATTTGAACATTTAAATAAATAATAATTAATATTAATCTGTAAAAATGGTCAAAGTATAATTAGATACCATATTACATTATTTACATCTATTTTATATGTTAGTAAAACCATTTGTATGGCTTTGTATCCTTAGTTTAAAAATTTTAATCACCGAAAACCAAAAAACTATTTATTCAAATTTTGAATAAAGTATATCAAATATCATCAATATTTAAAAAAAAAATTGTCCATTAAATAAATTATACTAAAGAAGTTTGGTTCTTGTTTGAAAACATAGGTAAGTTTGTATCGCCACAGGATACCTCTTATTAGTAAAGAGTAAAGACATTTTTAAGAATTTGAATATGTGATATTTAAGGATAGGTATATTTAAAAATTAAAAAAATTTGAATTTGAATAAAATAAATAAATAAATAATTTAATCTTATTAAATGAAAAATGGTGGTGAGCTTGCTCRGTATATATAACCTTTTTTGGTAAAATTATAATTTTTAAATGCAAGTAGACAGGACCAAATTGGTACGCGAAGGGAATATAGGGTTTAAATTTAAACCCCTCATTTACAACATACAAATTATATAAATGTATTTGTACAAACATTTAAAACTACCAAAATATTTTTAAGAATTGTTTTGTACTATAATAACTCACTACTTGGCTTCTTATAAAATTTCTTTCTAGTGTCTACAGCACTGCATAATATGAGGCTACAACATTTATATTATATATTTTGATGACATATACATTTTTCAGAAYACAGTTTAAATAAGTGTATATTTCACTTAATCTTTTAATATTTATTTAAAAATAATACTTAACATGGTTATTATACAGGTATATTCGTCTATTGAGTGGTGTTCTCGAATGGCAAGAGAACCAACAAGATTTCAGCAATAATAATGAAGACTGCATGGACAATAATGTGTATATATAAATTTATAATTATAATTTGTATGGCAGAAGAAAATATTAAATTATTGTAAAAGGTATATTAATCGTAATAATAATACGACACAATATCGGTAACTTAAATACGCCCTGCCTTAAAGATACACAGAAATAAGATTCCATGCCACCATGTAAGTACTTACGTACTATGTATAATTTATTAATATGTTTTATAAAATATGCAATATTTAAGTTTAATACTTATAGGTCCTAGCCCCTAAGTATTCTTATATAAATTATGACCATTATAACATAATACATTTGTTACATTAACTCAAAATTCCACCTAATATCTATTTTTAAGATTAATTTATTAATATTAAATGGAAACATTTATATAAATATTTGAACTGTAAAAAATTTAAACTACAAATTAAAAGATATTATGTATAATATGTTTAGAACTGCAATGATTTTGAAGAATGGTTGTATCACAAATACAAAACACGTTTTATAGCAATATTTTGAAATTTTTCTTTTAGAGAATATTATACCTTTTAATAAATTTCATTTTTTTGATATATTGACTGTTTTTAGCAAAGTACAATTTACTTACTTTATATTGTTTAGTACCTAMATTATTAATAGTGATAGATATATCTATGTAGTTATACATACAAGTTGCTTCTTTATTGTTCTATTATAGATTTTTAAAAATTGTATAATTTATATTAAGTACATTTAGTAAAAAAATCTTAACTTGTAAAATGTTTTTGAACTATAATTAATGTCGAATAAAATCAGAAGTTAAAACAACTAAGCGTTTTTCAGTGAGCTTTTTATCCTTGATTCTCATACAATTTATGTCCAATTGGCAATGACTAGAGTATATTTTTACAGGTAATCCATATCCCACATGATCCAGTTAAGATAAAAAAGTAATAAAAAATAAATTGTGGCATTAATACAGGAAATAAATAGAGCTTCGATAAGTTTTGACTTAATAGTTAGCATTAGCTCATACATGCATCTATTTTTGCTCAAGAAGTAAAGAATATTTTGGTTTGTTTATTTATAGGGTTGTCACTGCAGATTACATATTACAAAAGCTAGGCAAGTTAGTAATAGTTAATAGTAAAACTTAAATACAAAAATTAAGTACGAAGATAGGTTTGGTAAAAAATACTAACTTAGGTTAGAGTAGAAGTTAAAAGATGGTTATTTCAGTCTAAAATATAAATTTAAAATCAGCTCGTTGAAAACATTTTGTTAAGTATACCATATATTAATTAATCCGTAATCGGTATACAGAACAAATTATGGTTGACCACAGACAAATTATATCGAATAATTGATAATTTGATTAAATGTTTCAAGTATGTTAGATAATAAAAATAACTAAAAAGTGATAACCTTAATTTTTTGGAAAAAAAAATAAGAATTTCAGTCATTAGAGCACAGAATGTATAATAAAATAAGAAATATACAAACAGTATATTTTATTTATATATATACAACATAATATATAGGATATACGAGCCGTGGTTAACATAGTGTATTACAAGAAATATAACTAATAGAAAAAATTAATTAGAAATAATATGACAAAATAAATGTTTTTATCATAAAATTATAAATACTAAAATTCATTATTAAAATAAATGTTATAGATACTAATTGGCACTCAGCAGTTTAACAGAAAATTAGGTTATTTAGAATTAAAAAACAAAAACTGAAAATTTTAAAAAACATTCAAACTTAGATAAAAATGTATTAGGAAAGTTTTGAGTATTTATAGCTTGATCCAGTTTGAAAATAATCTGAATTATATACCCAATCTGAAGAGCAGTTTTTAATATAGGTAGAATTAAACAAAACAAGGTACACTAATGTCGATTTGCCAATGAAATGAAACCAACATACATCGATATAGTGCTGTAATATTTGTTCATTTTTCCTCAAATGAAATTTGCTAGAAAACTAGACGCTAATACATAATATATACATATTCTTATGATATAGGTATCAGAATTGTATAATAAATTAATTAGTTTAATTAAAAAATAAACACCAACATGAATGTTACAGGTATCATAATAATAAGGATTGTTATTTTAAAATTATTGATTGTCAACTGCGATTATTAGCGCCAGCATGGATGGATAAGTTCCTATCTAATATATATAGTATGATTCATGATAAAATTTTTGTTAGTTTTAATAGTATTACTTTGAAAAAATATTATTTAAAACTGCTACCACAAAAAAATAATTATAAATATCCACCATTCTGATTATGATGGTCCTTTAAGCTTAAATATATGTATTGAAATTCCTAAGAATTATTAAAAATTAATTTATATTTTTACATTTAAAATCATTAAAAATAATGTATTTAAGTTAAAATTGAGTATAGTTAGACAATTAAAGTATTCAAATTTTATCTATATTAATATTGTATACATTATTAAAAAAAACCAATAAGTGTTAACTAATACATTTTAATACAAGTAATAATAATTACAAAAACAAAAAAATTAATATTTAAAAAAAAAAATCTTCCAAAAATCTTATCTTACTCAATTAATACAAGTAAATTAATATTTGCGAATATATTCACTATAACGAGGAGGTGTATTCCAAACAGCACTCGATGTACGTTGTTTATCACGAATATTCCAGCCTTTGAACATTTCTTTAAGACTCATACTTTTTGGACAGTTAAAAAATAAGTCCCTTTCTTTAGAATCGACATGATATTGAAGTTCAAGTACAGCTTTTCTATTTTCTCCTAAAGATAATTTTTTAATTCATAATAATTAGTTTATTATGCTATACTAGTTATATATTTTAGTATATAATATACATACGTTTTGCCCAGTTTGGAACAGGTTTTTTGGGTCCAGATTCATCTTCAGAAGAATCACGAGCAGAAACGTCATTTAACCCATAATCATTTTTGTTATCAATCTTTAATAGACAATTAAGAAAATTACAAGATAAAACAATAAAAATTTAGCTTAAATTAATGTAGGTATTAATTAGAATAACTCAACAATACCATATGTGTATCAACTCAACCAAACCACCATTTTCATTTTAAAGTTAAACAGATTTAAAAAAAAAAAAAAAACAAAAAATCTGGACAAGTAGAATACAATTATGATGCACTGTCAAAATATCCAACATCAACTGGATACGAAGATTCCAATCTAAAGTTCTACATACAATTTTGAAAGCACTATTCTATGTTTCAAACAACATTCTTCACACTGATCTTAAAATACTGTATGTTTCTGAATTAACCAAAAATAACTACAAAAGTATTAAGTTGCTCAGATCACTATAAATATCCTTAATCTCCATTCTATCATCTGTCCAAGGCAATCCAATTTAAAGACTTAAAAGATAGGGTTGTTGTGATCTACTATCTTAATTAATTTTTATCATATTGTTTTACCTCCACAGTTTGTCTAAGCTGTCATTTTATTGTATATTTATTCCATTAATTTTTCTGAGTATTCTATTTTGTAATAGATTGAAAAAAAATACAAAAAAATACATAACATATTTATAATGCAATAATGTAAGAACATTACTCCTAATATGATAAACTAATCTATAAAATTAAATATTATGAGTAATACGTAATAATGTGTGGAAAGATAATGTTAAGTAAGGAAATGGATTATTAATTTTTTTTTATTCTAATTCTGAGAAACCAAAAAAGAATGTATTTAATTTTAAAAAGAAACCAGCTTACTTTTGATTTTGGTAATGTTGCTGATTTTGTGGCTGATGAAGTAGTTATATTTGAAGTTAATGCTTTAGGACGAATTACTGATTTACTTTTTTCTGGTCTGTTAATAATTTAATATGTAAATTAATTAGCCAACAATTGTATACTTGATTAGCATTTAAAATTAAACCAAATGCAATTATCAATTTTTAAAAAATATAAATGTTTTCTTACTTTGTTTCATTTTTCTTTTTTAATTCATTTTCTTTCAAAATGCGATTCATTTCAAGTTTTTGCTGTAATAATCATATTAAGTTTTTTTCAGTAAAATTACAAATACAAAGTAAAAATGTATCATAAAATAATTTATTACTATTTTTAAATGTTTTGCTTCTTCAGCTAGTTTACGCTTAGCATTAATCTCAGCTAATCGAAGTTCAGCAAGCTTTTGTTTCTTTAATGCTTCTTCTTTCATCATTGTTTCTTTTTCTTTTTGTTTTTCTTCTTTTTTCTTCTTCTCTTCAGCAGCTTTTTTAATTCTTTCTTCAGCGCGTTTCATTTGTTCTTCTCTTTGTTTAGCAGCTCTTAAATGTTGATCATCAAATTTTCTTTGGACAATTGAACAAAAATAATTAGTAGTTGAATATGCGTTAGAATGTAATAATATAAGCATTAATAATCAACTTCAAAACTAAATGCTAACCATCTTCTACAATCAGAAATTGTAACAACATCACCTACATAATAAAAAGGTCTATACCAAAATAACAAATTATTAAAAATTTTAGATCAAATTAATTATAATGGAATGTTTCAAGTTTCAACAATTAAAGAATATAGTGTTTTCGTACTCATTTATATTGTATCCGTCTTACTAAAGCATGATATAATATACTAGAATGTACACCAAAAGTTCTAATTGTATATGGTTGRCTGAGAGAGATTAGACATATTATCAAACTTTTATGTAAGAACATAATCAATGTTCTCTCGTTAGTTGAGTTAAAAAGAATTTAAAACAAGTAAAATCTATACATGAAAAAATCAAGATGTTTAAAAATGTTATCCACAGTATCAATAATACATTTTTAAGCAATTTATAATCAAGACAAACAAACTATCAATCAAAATTAATAATACTGAATACCTTTGATCAGCTTTGGATTTAAGATATAATTCTTTTCTTTTTTCAGCTTCATTTTCTCTGATTTGATGAGGAGTTTGTGTTTGAAGATCTTCTAATAATTTTCCTGGCGTTGATATTTGTTTTTCTAATGGCACATATAATACATTAGTTTTTTTTGCGTCAATATTATTTTCTTCTTGAAGTTTTCTTTTCATTGTTCTGGTCATAAGCGATTTTTCCTCTACATTAACATCGATATCTTCTAATTTTTCACGCTTTTTATTCTTAATTTGAGACTCAAAACTGCAAATTATGTGAATATAAAAAATAAGGAAGATAATAACTTATGTTTTTGAATATTAAAAAAAAATTGTATACCTTTTTTTCTTAGAGTTAATTTTGACTAATGTTTCAGATTGTTTAGAATTAAAATTTTCAGTACTAATTGGAGATTCTTCAGGTAAATCAACAATTATTCCTAATTTTTTTGTTGGATTTCTTGCAGACAATCTTTTAGTCAAATCATAAGTTTTATTGGCATTAGCTTCCTTTATGTGGGTTCTAATATCAGGAGAAAACATCCCAGGAGATACAGGTTCTTCAAAGTTTCTCATAACCTTTTTATCGACTACGAAAGTTGAATTTGCTGTTGGACAAGCAATAGAAGCTATATCCATAAAAGTAGATAAAGCTCTTGCTCGGCTGGCTCCTAAAATACAATCAAGATAATAATTAAAGTAGAAATCCAAAAATATTTTCAACTTATTAAAAAGTAATTATTATATTAAATATACATAATAGTATTGATTTTAAATTCTATGGTTGCAGTACACTCCTATCAATCAAATGCATTATATCTGAATGAAGTTCCTGTGAAATGGACAAATGAGAAGCTAGGGTATCAAATATATATGTTGGAAACCTTCCATCCTGATACGATAAGTTACATAATGACTAATAATACCAATCTTATAAATAGTTTATAAACTGATTTGTTTATGCAAATACTATTTCCTAAACAATTTTTAACCTTAAAACTCCTTGTATGCCAATGGCCATTAGATGCYAAGACTTATTTATTTAAATAATAATAATACAAATTCTATGGATTGCCAACTGTGGTACAAATTTTATTTTTACCACAGTTAGAAATAGTATTTATAATTAATGATATTAGGTATATATATTAAAGCATATTACTTTTAACTTAAAGCTTAACTAATTGATTTATTAAGAGTAAGTAGGATACAATTTAAAACAAGAATGCTAATATTTTTGATAAACAACAAAATATTTATAAATCAGTTATTACTTGTAGAAGGTCCAGAGCTGCTGATGGTTGAGGATTCTCTTATGCCTTTTATTTTATCTGATGCAATCTATAAGTGTTCAAATATATATTAACAACTTATTGATTATATCACACTGATACAAACTTTAAACATATGTATGGTAAAAGAAAAACATTAGTTGACTTAAATGAACTTTAAACAGTATTTATAATTAAAATTAATATAAATAATGATGGTATTCAATTATGTTCTATTACGAAATAAATATTATTTTTACTTCATCTAAGAGATACCTATGGTTAAGTGCAAAAAAACCATTACTTATACGTATGAACATAAAAAATGCATGCGAACAAATTACTAGGGGAGAATTAAGTATTGATGTATTTCTATCTAGCATAAGGATGGATGAAATGTGATTAGATTTGTATTTTTAAATTTGTGATTTGTATTTTTTTAAATTATATTATAATGTAACATTCACCGGTAAAACAAACAAATAACATAATACGTAAAACATAAATAGTGAATTTAGTGTTAAATAATTTGTTTTTTCCGGCATTCATTATTGTGATTAGTTATACATACGATAGAAGCTTGTCTTGTAGTTCTTCGAATTGGCGGAACAGCAGGTTGTTGAAAATTTGGTTCAGCAGCAAAGAGATCTCCAACCTGATCATTTTTTGTTCCTAAACAATTTAAATGAAAATTTCAATACTCAGAGTTAAATAATAATCAATATGTGTATACGGAATTAAGTCTACTACATACTTGATTGTCTTTTGGATACATTTTTTCCAGGCACATTCTGTGCTGATTGTAATAACTCATTATAAATAGCATCTAGTTTTGATGATTGTACCTGTAATAAACGTAAAAATTTTACTTAGGTAGATACTTAATAACAACAAGGATTAACTACATTAGATTTTAGGTCTCTATACAGATTTAATAAATATGATTAATTTATGTAACTAACCTGAAAACCATTATCCATTTCTGTAATACCATTTTCTGTCAATGACGAGAAAAACTTATAAATTTCAAATATATCTGTTGATTGACAATCCATTTTTCAATATTGAATACTGAAACATTTATGATACATCTTTAAATTAAAGCAACATACCTAGTACAATAGTAATATAAATTAAATATAAATCAAAGAAAAACAATTCATTCAATGAAGGTACGATAAATCAGTAAAATAAGTTGAAATGCAATTTTAGAGCCTGAAATAGATAGCTGTCTGCAGTAGAGTAGACAATAACACCCTACAAGTCAGAGTTGTTGTCCACAATATCATAGTGTTTATATTATGTGGTATCAAGCAAGTTTACAAAATACACACTAAATTACAGGGACTAGTAAAACTCATAAATTTGGTATTTAAAATAACAATACCTAGCACAAAATTTTATTTAGAAATTGGTTTAATTTAAAACAAAACTTTAATTTGTCCAGTGAAATCTAAACTGCTGCATCCAACAGTTGAATGCGATATTTTATACATTCAAATTTCCAACAATATTAATTTTGTAACAACTTACTATGGTCATAAAAAAGCTAGATTACGATAGAAACGTAGGCAAGATTGAAACAATTTAAAATAGACAGCGCATTAACAATTATTATTGCTCACACATTCATTATTGTATGAGTTATTGATGATGAAAAAATGACTCAACTCAACGTATATACGACGGTGAAAAACTTTATTATCATCAATCCCGAATAACGAGCAAGATAGTTAAATACGTACTATAGATGGGTAAGCGGCAAAGACAACGGTGAACGGATTACGGAAAAGTACAGTACACTAATTAATAATTCCTTAAGAGAATTGGTAATAAGACATACTAAGGCACATAACACAACACTTAACACTTTAAAGAGTATTAAACTATTAAAAAATAATTACATATTTAAACAAGAAATGTAATATGGTAGAGTTTTCCGTTAAAAATTAAACTCACTAACACTCCGGCGCAAACGCAATGCGCAGTAACGGTCTTGTTTACGGTCGTTGCATTAGGCTTGAGCAGCAGCAGCTTCTAWCATGATTGCTTGATTGTGGAGATGTTTTAAGGATGGTGGGTGCCGGGTGGAAGTGACAATCATTGTGAAAGGAACTTCCAATGTTTTTACCGGTAGGTTAAGAGAGGGAACCATGCCGGGATCGTGTTGTTGTTGTTACCCTGCTACMACAAACACATTAATAATATTCTTGCGTACGTCTAAATATGAATGATAACGTTATCGATGATAGCAATTGTATTACCGCGTGAATTCAAACATGAAAATGTTTGTCTCTTCTTTTAAACTTTATTACATAATACAATTTTAAAATTTAATACTCTACATTTTTTAACAYCTATGAATTATAATRCGAAAGATTGATTTTTTATTTTCAAATTATAATTGTAACTTGTCCTACAAAAATAATATAAAAATATATAAGAATAATACACTATAGATTAGAATTCTCACACAATTTATTATTATTTGAACATGTAAGCAACATTATTTAAATAGATAATTGAATGTCGACTGATTTTGATTTATATTATTATATTCTTTCCGAAATCCGAAAGACAAAAATACCAATTTTTAATAAATTAAAGGTATGTGACGTCATGTCAGTTTCATTGTSGCCATATTCTGTGCCGGCCCGTACGTGTTCGACTAGTGTGACCAACCCCGACAATATATGGAGTAGACCAATTAGAAATCGCCAAGTACAATTCGGTAACACGAAACACGTAGTAAATTGGATACATCGAAAACACAATTGTGAATTACGATTACGAACAAGTGCATACGCGACCACTGCATAAATACCGGCGGATTTTTTTTCGTTGTTTAAAGCTCATTTCGTTAAAATCGGTTGCCGACCAATTGTTTTCCTCATTTTTCCTGTTGATTTTTTTTTCTATTTCGTTGTGTTTTCCATTCCACCAACCATGAAGTTGATGCACGGATTGATCGTGCTCTCCGGGTTCCTATTAAACTCCATACTCGCTGACTCTGTTGTCGATCTATCAGACTCTGATTTTGACTCGTCGGTAGCCGAGTATGACACATCTTTGGTAATGTTCTATGCCCCTTGGTACGTGTATATGCCCTAATATGATTACAGTACTCGGATGTTACATTTCAATTAATCTATAATTGATAACTATTTTTTGTGAATCTAGGTGTGGACACTGTAAAAAATTAAAACCCGAGTTCGAGAAGGCGGCAAAGAGTCTACTGAAAGAAGATCCACCTGTTATATTGGCTAAGGTAATTTTTCAATACAGTATTTTGTATCTGATTTACTGCTGATGATTTGAAAATCCTATCTGAATACTAGAATTTGTTTGATATCCTTGTCATTAATATAGAAGTATTACTAAATTGTATTAATAATAGTACAGTCGAGTCTCGATAACTCGAATTTCTTTTTTGTCCCTAGGAAATTCCTATACACTCAATGCAATATTTGTCGCGATAAGTCAAATATAAAAATAGTTGAGCATGGATAACTCGAAGTCATTTGCATTTTTAGAATAACTGGTTTACAATCACAATTGTACAAATGAAATTATCGTATGTACAACTGTTGTGCTGTAAAATAATCGGCAGTTGCCGTATATCTTTGCTGTGTAGCGTGTACAATTTGTAGTTATGTCTCTTAAATGTAAATTTGTTACATTAACAATTGCTGAAAAAATGAACATTATAAGTGAGGTGACAAAAAGTGGTAAACAAAAAAATGAAATTGCCAAGCAATTTAATATTCCACCCAGTACACTTTCAAYTATTCYGAAAAATAAAGACGATATTTTACAAAAATAYGAAACTAATAAAGGGTCCATGAAAAGAATGAAGATTTGTGAGTATTCCGATATAGAGGTTAGTTTACTCAATTGGTTTATTCAATGTAGAGATTTAAACATTCCAATAAATGGACCAATTTTAAAGGAGAAGGCCGAATTTTTTGCTTTTAGTTTTTTAATTTTAATTATAGTTTATAAATATACATATAATACTTTTAATAAAAAAAAATAAAAATAAAAAATAATGTCTAAATCAAATTTTTTTGTATTTTTAAAAAAATAAAAAAATAAAAATACAGAAGTCRAATTTATTTTTATGTCCCTTGACATTCGAGTTATCGAGACTCGACTGTATATATATTATGAATGTTTATAAAGCAACAGATACTTTACGCTATCAATTTAAAGCGAAGTTATTGCCTTCATTTATACTAAATTAATTATTGTTTTGTAAACCACATAGTAAAGATTTAAACTTTGTTAGTCAAATGGACTCATTATTCTGAATCTATGAATATAAGTCTGGTGTTATAAAAGTCCGGTTTATATATATATATTGATTTATAATTATATGTTTATGTACACAATATTATACTTTTATATGATATATAGGATAGAAGAGGTTAAGTAAGAAGTGTAAAAAAAGATATAGGGTATGATAAAATATTTAATTTTTAAATTTGACAAATCATATTTCAACTCTTTAGGCKTATAAAATGCAATTGGACATAATTGGCATTTCATTTGTCATTATATTGACAAAAAATTATGTCATATTTTTATTTTTATTGTGCCTTTAATATTGATTCTAATAATAAAAAAATATATATATGATAAATAAACCGGACTTTTTATCAGAATCTCGCATATGCCAGTAGTTGGAACAGTAGTTTTTAATCATTCTTCAAAGTAATTCTCTCAACTTACTTCATTTTATATTTTGGTAAACATGCATTGTTTGAAAATATTTTACAATATATTTTATAAGTTTTATTTGGGTATCTCATTCATCAGAATCTTTTATCGAAACTAGAATTTTCGTAGTCTTAAAACACTAAGATTTTTATTTAACAGTATATTTATAAAAAGTGAATTGTTTTTATCTAGCTTAAATCGTTTTGCTTGTAAGTACATTCTGATTATATATAGTATATTTAAATTTCATAAAAATAATTCACCAATTTCTGGTATATTATCGTTAAATAATTGTGTTTGTACTATATTTTACTTAAATTATTTAAAGGTGGATTGTACTGAAGCTGGTAAAGAAGTATGTAATAAATTTGGTGTTTCTGGATATCCAACTTTAAAAATTTTCCGAAACGGTGAAGTTTCTAAAGAATACAATGGACCCCGTGATTCTGGTATTTAATAATTAAATTGTATATTGATTTAAAAAATATAATATTTATTCATTTTGTGGTTAGCCGGTATTGTCAAGTACATGAAATCACAAGTTGGGCCAAGTTCAAAAGACTTATCTTCAGAAGACATTATTAAGAACTTCTTATCTAAAGATGAAGTGGTGGTTGTTGGATTCTTTGAAACAGAAACTGATCTCAAGGGCAAATTCATTCAACTTGCAAACAAATTACGAGAAAAAGTAAACTTTGGTCATACCACTTCACAGTCAGTGATTGAGAAATATAATTACAAGTAAGTGATAAATATTACTTAGAAATTCAGTCAAGTATCTAGTTTATCATAACTAAAAAAAATATGGTTTATATCTATGTACATTATATATATAATAAATGAATAAATAATGTATTAAGCAAATTAGTTTGCATTCAAAGAGTAACATAGCAGGACTAGAGAGGAAGAAGTGTCCATTTAGGTGAATATTTTCCTATGATGGAAAATAGGTTTCTGCTTCAATTTATTTGCTTGTATCTTTATATTAGAAGAATAATTATTTTCGATATGAGAATTAGGATAGTTCCAACACCCTTTAAAAATAATTGTATTATTGTAGGTAATCATAAGCTTTTTAGGGCTTATAATTGTATATTAGTTAGATTTCATGTAATAAATTAATACTTTCATTTAAATGTTGGTTTGATTCTATTTTTCTTTTTTCTATTTAGGAATAATGTTGTGCTCTATAGACCTAAGCATTTAAGTAACAAATTTGAACCCGATTTTGTTGTTTATGATGGTGAAGAATCAACATCTGCTCTTGATTCTTGGATTACATCAAATTAGTAAGTATTACAACTTTTTAGTTTATAAATAATAATATCCAAACACTTTTTTCAATGAGATCGAAGTTGTAAATTATTCTTTAAATGCATCTAGTCATGGTTTGGTTGGTCACCGCCAAAAGGAAAACATGGAAGGTTTCAAACCTCCTTATGTTGGAGTTTATTATGCTGTTGATTATGTTAAGAACCCAAAAGGAACAAACTACTGGCGTAATAGAGTATTGAAAGTTGCCAAGTCTGTGAAAGATGTTACATTAGCTATTAACAACAAAGATGATTTCCAACATGAAATTAATGAGTATGGATTGGAATTTGTATCTAATGATAAGCCAATAGTTTTGGCACGTTCTCTGGACAACAAGAAGTACATAATGAAGGATGAGTTCTCGTAAGTTTATTTGTGCTTTGTTTTTTTTTATCATTATTTATTTTGTAAACTGAAATATATACTATAAAGTATAAATACATTTGAAAAGTGTATTCTAACTTTCTAAGTTTAATAATGGTAATAATCATAGTTAAACTAGTATAGAACAACCGTTTATTGACAGAAATCTGTTAATTTCAACTTTTKATAACAAATTGTTAAATATTTTCTATCTAAGATTAGTAAGATTATCTTAATCTTTTAAAATACTTGAATTTGCCTGTTTAAATATTGTATTTTAGATAAAACATATTCCAAATGCAATTATATTCTTATCACATTTGTTGTTCAATGGATTTTCTGATAGTGTTCTTTCGGTTCCTCTTGTGTCATTTTAATATATTATATAGAAAACAATATTATAATATTATATAAAATWAAAATAATACCTAATGTTTGAACTTGTTTGTAGAGTTGAAAATTTAGAAAAGTTTGTTAAAGACTTCCAAAATGGTAACTTAGAGCCATACATTAAATCTGAGCCAATTCCTGAAGATAACACTTCACCAGTAAAAGTAGCTGTTGCCAATAACTTTGATGATTTAGTTATCAACAACGGAGTTGACACATTAGTAGAATTCTATGCCCCATGGTGTGGCCATTGTAAAAGTTTAGCTCCAGTCTATGAACAAGTTGCCGAAAAGGTATTTATGCATTTATAATATTTACAAAATATATGTGTTCTTCATGTTTCCTTTCGAAGAATTCAACTCTAATCAATATGATACCTAGTAA